ATTAAAAAAAATTTTAGAAAAAAAAAAAAAGAATCAACATTTAGGATAAACTGGAAATCACATTTACTGCAGACATATGATAGCAAATTTAGATGTAAACTTAATAATAGTTGAAGGGGGAAAGAGTTTTATAAAGGCTTTCAGCAAGGACTTTAAGTAGGAAAGTCTGGAGAGTAGTGCCCTCCACCTGCAAGCTGAGCCGCAGCTGTCTCTGTCTCCTTCCTGCAGGAGGAAGAGGCCCCGGGGAGGTTGTGAGCCCGGCTCTGGTCTGGGATGAAGGGCGGCTGGAAGGAAGCAGGAAGGGGAAGCAGAGGCTGCTCGGAGACGCCAGAGGGGACCTTGGAGTTAAAAGCGAATTTGAGCAGTAGATGTCGCTTCAGAGCAGCGGTGCCACACTGTGGGGCTTCAGAAGCAGGGAGACCAAGTCCCCTCACTGCTCCCAAGGTGGCTCCTGTCACCAGATCCATTCCATCTTCTCAAAGGCTTCAAGCGCACTTGAAACTCAAGAGTCACCAGAATCTGTTGCATCCAGGGAAGGCACAAATGAGACTTGAATGCAGGTGACAGCGAGGAATGAGAAACATCCTGGACTGGAAGTGATTATCTTTCCTGGAAATGCTCTCTCCTTCTGGGCTGGTGACACAGTCCCAGGAGACACCCCTCTGCAGCCACCACATCCCCACTCACCCCCAACGACTCCCCTAGCTTCGATGGTCAGAGTGCCTAGCCAGCTGCCCCTACGTCCACGTTCAAGGCTCAGTATCACCTCCCCTCTTCTCAGTCTGTAATTGGACACCCACCAACGCAGCTACTTGATTAATGAGGCATTCTTCATTGGGCCAGGAGCCAGGTTGTATTTCCAAAGCCTGTTAAGATGCCCAGTATTTCAAAGACCCTCTATTAAGGATTTCTTAAAGGAAGGATAGTATTTGTTGAATGAACGATCAATGCATAAAAACAACAATCAAATCTCCCACTGAATTGAGAGAGATAGAAAAGGGTCCAGTTGAGGCAAGCAGATGTCAGTTCTCAGGGAGAATACCCACAATGCATCACGGTCCCCAAGGACAAGTAAGACTTAAAGAGCAGGGCATAGGGAACAGCAGGAACACGGCCATGGGCACAGGTGTCCCTGCTGGGCATGGTGTCCCTGTCAGGGACTCCCAGGCTGCCATGTGAGGTAGGGTAAACAGTGATGGACTCCAAGGTGACATCAACAGCATCTTCTTCTTCCTGTGGGCATTAGGTTGTTGATTTCCAAATGGCTTCCTGGCTTAGATCTCTCTATTTAACCTTCTTCGAAAGCCCTACAAAACATCTCTTCCCTTAGAAAGAATGACATCTTGTGACTGACCAGGTTTAGACCATTGTGTGATTTTTATGGAGGTGCAATCTTTTAATTTCTGTTGATGCATTTGTCTAGTGAAGTCCTCTCAGCTTGCTGGGGAGGAGTACTCTGTACAGTAGGCTGTTGCTACTTCAGGGTTGGGCTTTCGCAGACTCACTGTTTTGTGGGTTTTCAAAAAAATACTAACCTAAATTTTTTATTGTGGATATTTTGCTATATCACGGGATTTTGCGGTAGTATACAATATATATGTGTTGTCAAAATTACATAGGTTTACAAATTTAGAAAGTGGTTAATAACATTAGAAATGTTTTTAAAAGTGTGGGAAAGGTTTATAAGAGTGTAGGAAGGGTTTATAAAGCCTTAAATATATATATATTTTACATATACATATATATATATATACACTAAAATAAATATATGTTGCTACTTTGCTGATTTTCACTGATCGTGGGGGTATCTGGAATGTAGCCTCCTTGAGAAGTGAGGGGCACTTTATTCTGACTAGGGGACCCTTGCCTTTATTTGCCAATACTTGTAGAATGGGGATGTGGTCTATTTATTGGCCCAACTCAAGGTGGAACCCTAGGAGGGTTCCCAAAGTGGGGTTCCGGGGCTGGCAGGGTCAGCATCATGGGATCCTGTCACACCTGCTAATTGTTAGGCCCCACCCTGGGTCTGGGGAGTCTGCTGCACCCTCAAGTTGACCGCTGGAGGTTGTCTAGTTTGCCCAGGTCTTAGTCACTTCCTTATTGCTGGGATTCAATACATTGTGACATCTACACATTAAAGGAGGAGAGGTTCATTTCGGCTCACACTTCAGTCCATAGCTGGCTGGCTCCATGGCACCACCGCAAGGTCCAGGGGCCCAGAGGAGGACAGCTATTCACCTCATGTTGGCCTGGAAGTGGGAGATCCAGGAAGAGAGATTCACCTTAGCAGACCCCGCCCCCGTGGACCCCCCTCTGCCAAACAGACCCTACCCCCTAGCAGCAAGCTAGCTGCACCCCCATAACCCAGTCATATTTGAAAGCCCCACCTGGGAGCGCATGAAGCTTCATGGGGGACATCCAGATACAAACTATAGCACTCGACACAATGTGTCCCCCGGGCCCAGAACAGTGCCTGGCTTAGGGTAGGTGATTGGGAATCATTTGCTCAGTGACAGAGAGAGAACACTGTTTCTGCACCAGAGCATAGGCGGTAATAGCAAAACCATGTGCTATTTATTTGACATGAAATTTGTGTATTTTGAATAGGTACTGTATTCCCAAGGCTCCGAACTCAAAAGATTATAAAAGATATACCAAAAGATGGAAATTATCCCAAACAAATGCTTGAAAACAAAGTGAAAAATCACAGCAAAACAGTTTTAAGAGGTGTATGTGAGAAGTCTCCCACCTGCCTCAGATCCCTGGGCCAGCCTACACCCAGCCGGGCACAACCAATCAGGTTTCTCCGTATCCACCTGTGTGTGTGTGTGTGTGTGTGTGTGCGCGTGTGTGCATGTGTGACACCCACAAGAATGGCTGCCACTGCACCTCCTGTGGGAAGATGGCATCCTGGGCCCAAGTACCCTCTTGCCAAATGGCTACTTGAAATGTGTCATGGGAAGTCTGGGGGGTGTTCTCGGTGGGTTAGCCGAGGCACAGAACTGCTGTCATACCAACTCAGGATTCACGTCTCTATTTTTCTAAGCAGGTAACTACTATACTGCACACATGCAACGTTTCCTATTGGGCAATTGGTACCAGGAGGGTTTTCATTCATAAACTAAGGAACAGAACTACTACTTTCACATGTATTCAGTCAATTTCCTCCTCAGAGCAGGGATCCAGGATACCACACTGGGCTCGACAAATAAACATTCCCTGAAAACCCGAGGCCCTCGCCCACAGCCCCACAGCCCTGTGACCGCCTCTCCCACACGCCCACCACAGCGCACTCCAACCACCTGCTTCTGCTTCTGTCACCCCGGCACTACCCCAGTCCCCCAGAGGCAGGGACAGCAAATGACCTGTCTTGGGTTCTCAGTCAGTGACTAAGACCCAGCAGATGCTGAACTGGAATAGCGAGCTAAATAAAATGAGACCTACATTAGGCTCCATGCCTCTGACACAGACCAGGTGCAGAATTTACTATCCCTGGTGTGCAGCTGGGTGCCCTGCGGTAATCCATGCAGAACTGTGGATAAAACAAGGTTCACCGCAGCCTGCTCGTGAAAGTGGGGGCTCACACACGGACAGTGCAGTTAGGAAACATTTCTAGCTTTGAAGATCGTGTGGTCCCTGTCACAGCTCTGCCTCTGTAATATGGGCAGGTGTGACTGTATTCCAATACAATCTCATAGAAGGATGCTGCAATTTGAATTTTATATATCTATATCTATCTATCTATCTATCTATCTATCTATCTATCTATCTCTATATATATCTTTCCTTCTTTCTTTTTTGTGGTACTGGGAATTGAACTCACAACTCTTGCTTGCACTTTACTGACAGGTATGCTGGGCCACTGAGCTACATCCTCAGCCCATCATATAATTCTAATATAGCAAGAAATATTGCTTTTTAAAAAAATGCTCTTTTTTTTTTTCCTTCTTTTTTTGCAATTCCGGGGATTGAACTCAGGACCCTGCACTTGCCAGGCAAGTGCTTACTCTACTGAGCTATCTCTCCAGCCTCTTTTAATGTTTCTTCCAACAATTAAAACTGCCAGAACCCTCCATCACTCACAGGCTGTCTGACAGCAGGTGTGAGCCAAACTTGCACAGGACTTGGCCTGAGCTTCAGTTTGCACTGCTTTTCTAGGCGAGCATCAAAGTCCTC